TGGAAAATTGCCAAGTCACAAATCCCTGAAAACCGAAATCCGTAGCCCAATAGAAGAACCGACGGTGGGAAACTCGTCAGTCACAGAATCCACTAAGGACACTGCCGTGTTATATATTCCTCAACCGTCATCCACGCCTCTTTCATCCCGAGTGGCGAGTGCGACTATGCCAACCAAATCCCGCCGCGTGGCAGTCATTGGCGCCGGAGCTGCGGGCCTCGTCGCTGCTCGTGAGCTTCACCGTGAGGGTCACGCCGTTGTCGTCTTTGAACGCGGGAACCAAGTCGGTGGAACCTGGGTGTACACTCCTCAGGTTGAACCCGACCCGCTCGGACTAGACCCGACTCGACCGATTGTGTTTTCCAGCCTTTACAGCTCTCTCCGCACCAATCTTCCCAGGGAGTGCATGGGTTTTCGAGATTACCCGTTTATCGTCCGGCAGGATGAGGAGAGAGACCCGAGGAGGTTCCCGGGACATCGGGAGGTGTTGATGTATCTGAAGGATTTCGCGACTGAGTTTGGAATTGAGGAGATGGTGAGGTTTGAAACGGAAGTAGTGAAGGTGGGGATGGCGGGGAACGGCAAGTGGAAAGTGAGGTCCAAAAGGAGTTCCGATGAAATTAACGTTGGTTTCGACGACGAGATTTATGATGCTGTTGTTGTTTGCAACGGGCATTTTACGGAACCTCATATTGCTAGTATTCCAGGTAATAACTCGCATCTTTTTTCTGGGTTTTTTAGGAAAATTTTCATCTTCCCAGTACTGGTCCAGGGTACGTAGTTTTCTATTGTTTTCATTTAAATGAACAATTAAAATTGCAGACTTTTAATTTTTATCTGAAGTTCTGTTCAGAAAAAATAGTACATTCTTGATACGTATTGATAAACCATATGTACTTGATATATAAACTTGGGATATAAAAATAGTCTGTTGTTAAGATTCTCATTGCATTATTGAAAAGGTAAAAGAAAGGTCTTTTGCACATTTTATGGAAGGAATATACTTATCTGTGTCCCTGGTCTTATGATTCTGGTATTTCCAGGCATCAATTTATGGCCAGGAAAGCAATTGCACAGCCACAATTATCGTGTCCCAGATCCCTTCCGTGATCAAGTAGGTGTCAGGTTTTTTCTTCTCTTAATTTGAATTTGTATTGCATTTTAAAGTTTATTATGATGGACTCCTAGATGCTCACTATTGCCAGGTTGTAATTTTGATTGGGAGTTCAGCAAGTGCGGTTGATATAAGCAGGGACATTGCTGGGGTTGCCAAGGAAGTACATGTTGCATCTAGATCAGTTGCTGATGAAACATATATGAAGCAGCCTGGATATGATAACATGTGGTGTCATTCTATGGTAAAAAGACTTGGTATAAGATTAGGATGCCTACACTTATGTATCTTAATGTTGGAGATGTATTGTTGTTGGTTGAAGAAACTAATATTTACCCCACAATTGCAGATAGAATGCGTGTGTGAAGATGGTACATTGATTTTCCGAAATGGGAAAGGCATCCTTGCCGATGTTATTATGCACTGCACAGGGTATTTTTCATTTAACTTGTCTATATTGATTCGAAAAGTGGATTTTATTGTATGGAGTTCTGAATGAAGCTACTGAAATATAATTGAAAGCATTGTTAATTTACTGCAATTCTTTTTAAGGTACGAGTACCATTTTCCCTTCCTTGAAACAAATGGCACCGTGAGTGTGGATGACAACCGTGTGGATCCACTGTACAAGCATACCTTCCCCCCCACATTAGCTCCCTGGCTTTCATTTATTGGGATACCACGGAAGGTTAATCTCTACTCTGCTAATCAAAGCATAAGCATATAACTTCCATTATTTACTCTGTTCCTTTGTCCAATCTACATAAAAAGTTATGTTATTTTGGTGCCAGATTATTCCATTCCCTGTCTTTGAGCTTCAAAGCAAGTGGGTTGCTGGCGTTTTATCTGGTCGAATTATGCTTCCATCACAAGAAGAGATGATGGAAGATGTCAAAGCTTTTTACTCGACAATTGGAGCTTCTGGCATACCTAAGCAATACACTCATTTTATGGATGAAGCTCAGGTAAAATTAGTCCTCTAGGCTGTTATTAATTAAGCCAATGCATTCCATTCCTTTCATCTCAAAATGACTTCACTTAAAAGGTTGTGAAATGAAGCTTTTTGTAATAATTAGTAGTTAATTATGAGCAGCGGTTAGTTCTGTTAATGCATTCTGATTAGTTATTTGGCTGAATTTTGCAGTTTGAGTACTGCAATTGGCTTGCTGCGCAATGCGAATGCTCAGGCTATGAGAAATGGAGAGAGCAAATATTCCGTGCTGGTCGTAAGAACAGGCGTGTCCGACCGGAGACATTCCGTGATGAATGGGATGATCACGATCTGGTTTTGCGAAGACACGAGGAATTTACAAAATACACCTCAACTACTGTTAATGACAAATGTAGAAGTGAATCCTTTACGGTACAAAGGTAAACTTACCAGCTCCATTATTCCCTATAGTTCTCTCATCAATACATGTTAAAGCTTCTTATTAACCATCCTTGTCAATAATATGGAAAAATACGAGTGTTGAGTTGTTTGGATTGCAGAAATCTTTGAGTGACTATAGTATATGGGAAAAAAAAAAAAGAAAAAAAAAAAGTAGTAATTCTGATTTCCATGCACAAGGCGCACTGGCTCAGTCACTGTCCTTAGTGGAAATCACCCGAGTGAGAAGTCTCCCGACAGGAATATAGAAAGCAGCAATAATTCACGGCAATTATTGAACACAGATGAAAATAATAGGCTATCTATCATTTAACAATTAGGTTTAGGTATGTACAAGACTAATCAAGTCTTCTAATGGTTTATTGAGGATTATCATGTTGAGTGGAAGGTGGAAAGGTTACTCTGCATTTAGTTAATCATTATCCTTCAAATTGCTTATCAAGAAGAAAAGGAAAAAAAAAAATATTATCCTTCAAATTCAATTCAAAGGTGACCTGTGAGGCACACCCTTTCGCCGGCCAACGGTCTCAGCTACTGGCGAGGAATTATGACTACAGGAAAGCAGAGGGGGCATTGGAGCACAACTGCGCCTCTTCCTCACGAACTCCGTTGTAGCCGCACAAAAACGCGCCTTGCAATTCAAGGCATCACCATTGTTAACACTTGTTGACGTGCACGACCATTTTTTCATTGAATCAGCCCTGTCAAGGACTGAGTCAGGGGTGATTTCTCCATCTCCAAGTTCCTTGAAGCTTTCTGCTCTCTCTTTCCCGCCATCCTTTGTTGTCAACAGGTGATGAACCTGTATGCATGTGGCCAACGAAGTTAAAAACTGTAACAATTAACGAAAAATAACTGAAAATTGTAATGAATTATATTTAACCTTGCAAGCGAGAGAGCAAAAGAGAAAATGTTCTTGAAGGCTACGGTCGCATTTGATGCAGAAATTAGAAGAGCCTCGAAAGGGTCGTGATATTGGTCTGTTTTTAAGAAAAACCACCTTTGCTCTGTTCGTAGTGTATGGCTGTAGAGTTTGAAAACAATTCAAGAGAGCCAAATTATAAACAAAGCAGCGCTAGCTAGTAATTGTATTAATACGTACTTGAACGAGGGAACAATTGATGAATTTTTGTGCATCGCTCAACCGAATAACATCATGGTAAACATATCTCCTTATCTGTAGCAAACACACACAAATAACAAAAAAGGAAGATCAGTGCTAGAGATGTTGATGAAGATCGTGTCAATTAAGTTGGGGTATGATGAATTATCATATTATGGAATGGATGGACCTGCAAACGCCGGTGACGGCGGTGAAGAGGCAAGCAATGAGTGCAGATAGTGATGCAGCAATTCAAGCAAAAGATGTTCTTCTCATTCTTCTTTACAGACTTGTGAACTATGCATGGCTCAAAGAATTTTTCTCCCAGAAGAACTCGAAGCCAAGCAGGACCAACCTGGAGGACAAAAGGCCATGAATCAAATTGAATTGTGCAGAAACATAAAAGATGGGGCTTGGGAACAAGTTCCCATGCAGAAAGAAGAATTCACCATTCTCCGTCTTTGCTGCAGTTGAAGAGAGGCAGAACGGTTTATCACCGTGTCAGGGTTTTATAATGAACGATGGGTTGAGGAATTATGAATAGAAGGAATGGGAGGGAAGGATGGGGTTTTAAGAGATTCCTACTGCTACAACTACTACTGTTATGCGTCTGTTTTTGTAGATTGTGATTTCTGAACATCAAAATCAAATCTTTTGGCTGTTTTAGACCATAACCTACCTACTTACTGGTATCCCCTACTGCTGTTAGCACCTCAAAAACATATCCGGGTGTGTTATTACGACTCACTACATCTTTAAAGTCACAAAAATTTTGGTATTCTTTTTTAATGTAAATAGTTAGTAGTTATAATATTTAAAAATATTAATATATAAATTAATTTTAATATATTAAAAAATAAATATGAGTTAATTTGTTATTTATTAATTAATAATTAAAATTATTAGTTATTTTTTTAACTAAATTAAATATAGTCAATATTTTAAAATATAACAAGTAATAGTTAGTTTGCAATAACATTTTAATGTGTGGTGACAAATTTTTTTTCAAAAATATATTGTGTAATTCAAATTAAATTATTTAAATCATTAAAGATGTGCAAATTTTTTGATGTTGAGAAATTAATTCTAACGGCAAAATATAAAAAAAAAAAAATTTTTTTGGGGTTAATGGGGAAATTGTGGACAAAATGGATTTATTTCATTTAACTGTCTTTGTGCTATGCTATTATTCTCATGAACTTCTAGAACATGATATACAGTCATGTTTATTGCCACTTTGAATATTATATCTAGAAACATTATGATTTTGTAGAGAATTTGTGTGGCAACATGGTCCCGAACATTTTTCACTATTTGGGTGATAAACAGCATTTATAAGAATACAGTAATGAATTCAGGACGGGTGAGGAATTTGCTCCGAGAGTCTGAGGCATTTAAATTTTCTTTCCTTGTCGTACTGGCCTCATTAATCACTTTCCTACCCTTCTTAAATTTCTCAAGTAGGTTTTTTCGTACCCATCTTGAATTTTAAACTAAACCATCTCTAAAATCAAAGTTTAAGTGTGT